TTTTTTTTTTTTTTTTTTTTTTTTTTTTTTTGACATTGCATTCTCTAGAGAAATAGAAAAGGCAGTAAATAAACTAATGTAACAATCAAATCTGAGAAATACCAACAAGCTAATTCATTACAAACTAAGTAGGCTAAGATGACTAACAAGGATAAATTCCTACCCCTTTTTTTAGTTTATTCACATTCTGTTGGTATAGTGCATCCATACATTTCCTTACTTCCTCTCTCTTTTTAGTCTCATTTCCATCCTTCACAGAAAAATAAATGACAAAGTAGAATCTGCTGAACTCCTTGCTTATATGAGAATTAGGATGATAGTCCCTTGGTAGAACTTGAAAGAATGCCACCAATTGGCAGGAAAGGAAAACACACAGCGATAAGTCCTAATCACTTTTCTTCAAAATACTAATCTACTGATTAATGGCTCATTGAAATTCTCAGAATGTACTTACTGCCAGGGACCTAAGAGATCTTGAATCAAACAGAAGCTTTTCACCAAGAGGGAGATCTTGACTTTCAATATGTAGCTCTCTTATTCTTTCTAATTTATCCAAACCCTCTACTACAGTGATGCAGTTGCCACCCAGATACCTGTAGAATAGAAGACAAAATAGATTTAATATACTTTGAAAGTAAAAGCAAACACAAAGCCTCAATATACTTAAAAAAAATTTAAAATATTATTTAATAATACCTTTTCTATTATAATAGAAAAAGTAAAAAACCTAGCATGTGAGTAGAACATATATCTTACAGATCCAAGGTATTTTAGCAGTTTTAAATATTGCTGCTATTATCATTATTATTAATAATATTATTATTAAATGGCTGACAAAAGAAAATAATTTAAATGCAAACAAGTATGTTAAGATGATATGTCATTACTTACATCATAGAACAATTCAAAAAAATCATAAGCAATTACTTTTATTCGAAAAGCAAAATTTAAGAGCTGAAAGGACCTTAATGGCTACATAATTTTTAAATTTCTTAGTGTAATAATTATTCTTCTACTAGTAAAATAAATACATTATTTTCAACTTACAGTTTTTCAAGGTTTTTCAGCAATGAGAGATTTTCTATACATGAAATACAATTGTTCTGAAGGTAAAGGTGTGTTATATTTGAAGCAAAGTCCAAGTTCTGGATTTGGCTGATATGGTTATCATATAAATATAGAACTCTAAGATTTTTACACAAAGAGAGGTCACCCTGAAATAAACAACAACAAATTAACAATACGTAGAGGTCACTCACTGCCTACTTCTGGAAGCTCTTGATTGTTTCTATATTTAAGTTCTGCTGCATGATTTATACATTTTCACCTTTAACAAACACTTTTAACAACTCTTTTTTCTAGAAAAACTGAGTTAGTGTCAGCAACCATCAGATTTAAGACTGAAATCTGTCATTACTATTCTGCCATACAGAAGCTGAAGACTCAGCAGGTACATCACATTCTGGGTGACTTCATTCCCTCCCGTGCCTTCATCAGGTGGATTTCAGAAAAGCCCAATTGTCACTGTAGTTTTCTGCATCAAACCTCAGTGATATAATGGAAACCAGTTCTTGGCAAAGGAATACTGATTTATACAAAAACTTGTATTTTAATACACTCCTGAGCCTAAGATTCCACTCAAATGTTCTTGTAAGGGTTTCTGTAAAACTTCTTTATGTCACCTGATGAACCAGTCTTAATCAAATGGACTGATCAAATTAGTATGACTATGACTGTGCACGTTCCTAGGAGTGGGCTGAATAAACCCATTTGCTTGCACAATCTGTTCATAGAACAAGCTATTTAATCTTGACTGAAATCACACTTTTAAAGCAGAAATCCACTATACACAACTATTCAGTTGATCAGGGTTCAGCAGTTTCAAAATGAGCTCAGTATCTTGAGGGGATTTGATTTAACACAGGGTTTACTGAAACTTGTATAAATTTCCCATTATTAAACTCAAAGGAAGGAGGACTGGGTTAAGTTTGCATGTTTAGTCTTTGAAAATGAAAAGGTCATGGATTATTTTTTAAATGAATAACCCCCTGGGAACAATCTAAAAAAAAATAAATGTAGATTTTAACCTGACTAATCTGAAAAAGCCACTACACGAGTCCGAATTTGTTAACCTCACTTGGCTTATATCCTGTTCCTGAACTCCCCTTTCCTTTCTCAGACTTCCTCTGAAATCTAAGGAATAAATCACAGATAGATTGAAAAGATTGTGCTGTGAGTTAACAACTGTTTGTAAAATTCCCAGGACCAGAAATTATATGGCATGACTAGAATGAATTAAGTGTTGCACTTAATAGTATGTAATATCACTTCTTTTTTTAAAAAAATCTGATCTGCAAAATTACTAGTTCTTTACATCTTATTCTATTTTTTGTAGAGCTGCAGATTTCTATAATAGTTCTGTGAAATACCGCAAAAAATACTTCACTTTAAAACTTCAGTTCATCTCTCTCATGTAATTGCTTACATGGATTTTCTAGTTTAATTAATTAATGGCAAAAATAGTTAGCATACTGATAACACCCTTCTTGTCTGCTACACAGATGATACATTTCCACAGTTTCAGGTAAGTAAAATACTTCAACAATATTTTTGCCACATAAAATGTGTCAGGTCAATAATAAGAAACCCTGCAGACTGTTGGAGTTACAGTCACCCACTTTGATGTTTTAGATGAAAAGTTACAGCTGAAAGATTATTTTCACATTTCAAATGCCACGCATTTAAAATCCATTTAAACACTTTTATGTACAAGCAGTGTTCCACACAGTAACAGCAGTGAATGCTGAAGCATATTTCCAAACAGATGTATTATTAAGGCTTAGTTGTAAATATAAATGTTAAAACATAATATAGCTGTTATAAATTAGAAATATGGCTTTGCTTGTTTGTCTCCCCAACTATAAACAACTCATCATACCAGTAACTACAAGACATTTAAGTAGCCAGGTTAAAAGGAATAAAGAAAAATAAATCTTACAATTGCATCTATATTTTTGTCTGATAAATTCAGATGAGTTATTTTTCGCAGATACTGTCCAAAGTTCTCTTCACTGAGATTCTTGTGACTGATGCTTCTAGCAATTAGGTCCACTGTTAGTTGAACCATAATTCTGTAATAGGTCAAACTGGTCTATGGCTTTGTTTAATAGTGTATTCCACGTGCTCTTGTAAGTAGTTTTATAAAATGCCTTTTAAAAAAAAAAAAAAAAAAGGAAAATGTTATACTACTTGTACACCAAATCTTCAACAAAGCTTACATGTATACTTCAAATCCGATGTTTCCCCACCAATTCGCTTTTTGCCTAGTGACACATTTATGCATAGTCTTTGCTGCTTATAAAAACCTACCCCCTTTTTGCTGTAATTTTTTCAAACTTTCAGTGTATTAAATAACATTAAAAATACATTTTTATATTGGATTTGTTGTTTCAGTGTGCTTAAGAGGGTTGCACCCTTGACTCCATCATTTTCATATAGCAATATGAGCACAATGGTCCACAGCAGAAGTAATTCTCACACATAAATAACTAACTAGTGTGAGCTCATAACCTAATTGTTAGAAAATACATCACTCTCTATAGCAGGCTCTTTACGGGCTGTGAGAAGTCATATAAAGCGACAGTACTCTTTACACATCAGCACAGCCTTTTTGTTATCCACACAACTGCATGTGAGTTTTTTGCACTGAGGCATATACTTTAGAGGCTCTCAACAGTACCAACTACCAACCTCTTTTTTTTTTTTTTTTTTTTTTTTTAAGTCTGGTTTATAAATTGGGGAACGACAGGGAGGGAAGAAGGCAAGACAAATTTTGAACTGGGTGTGTTAATGTTCTGAGGATAAAAATATCCTAACAAATGTAACTTAACAACTCAGAATAAAAAGGACGCTTTTTTAGCCAGTACATCATACAATGCACATTATGTATTTCAGTCAGTACATAATACCCTCACATCAGTGTATCAAAACTGAAGACAGCAGAAAGCATACCAATACTAAAACTCACGCAACCACATAAACCAAGGCAGGGAGAATCCTCCTTGCCAGTATTACATTTATGAGAAACCGAGGAAAAGCAAAGACTGAAACTGTGAAGACAGAAAGAACTTCCTTACTTAATAAACAAGGTTGAAGCTCAGTAGCTCCCCCTCATCCATGTGGGTTTTGTTTTTTGCTTTTTTTTTTTTTTAAAGGAGGCGAAGGAAGGAGAGCTGAAAGGACATTCGGGTTAGGGTTTTTTGTTTGTTTCCTAAGAAGTCTGTTTCTTTCTTGCTTTTTAAATAAAAATACTTTTCAGAGCCCTTTCTTATACATTCTCCCAAAATAAGCAGTAACAGCAGAGGAAAAGCCGTGCTGCCAGCGGGGGGGCTTTGCGTGAGGCAGGTCTCCCTGCTCACCCCAGCTTCTGGAGCCGGGTGATTTCAGACTGTCGTTCCCGTCCCGTCCCCCCACCTCACCGCACCCAGCCGGCGGCTTGACGGCGACAGGGACCAGCCGCCCCTCAGCACAACCCGCGGGAAGCCTGCTTTGATGCCGCTGCCCGCAGAGGGACAAGTCGGGGGCAGGACCAGCTCCCAACGTCCATCCCCGGAGGGTCCGGCCCCGCGCTCCCCCCTCACC